CAAAACCAAACAGGCAACATGCTCTAGTCTACAAACATCAGAAATAACATATAGGATACATTTTTGTAAAGGTAAAAAATATGATAGGACAATGTTGCAATACCTGTGAGCTGTTTGATGTGTATGAAAATGCATTGGGAGGGACACCCTTGGGAGGATAGTGTTGGCTAGCTTTAGCAGAAGCTGCATCAGTTATGTCTGTGTAATGATCTCTGACCTCTCCTTGACCTGGGACCTTGTAGGAAACTTCTGAACGTTGGATCAACACATTATCTGGGTTGCGGTGGGCATCTGTGGTTGAATATGTGGTGAACGTGCGAGTGGTTGTGGTGACCGTTTTAGCACTGTTCATGACAGGAGTTTTGGTGATACTGTCACCACTTGCGACAGCAGAAGACAGGTGGGTAGCTTGCTGAGTCTGGACAGGAACTGATTGAGATGAGTCTTTGGTCGGAGAGACATACACCTGGTCACTCAAGAGGTTGCTCAGCAGTTCATCCAGCTGCATGCGTTCTTCAAATGTCTGCACCGTCCTCTGGCTGCTCTGTTGGGTGCTGGTGTAAGACGGGCTAATGCTGCTGCTGCTGCTGTTGATGTTGTTGCTGACTACAGTGGTAGGAGCCAGGTGTGAGTTAAAGCTGGTGTCATGGCCACGATGCCCTGAAACAGTTCAACACCACATCATGACCCTGGACACAAATTTCTCATAATAATTGATATTTGTGTGCAGTCAGAATTGTACAGAAATAAATATTAATAGCAGAAGTGGCAGTAGCGGCTTGCTAGTACACATACCTGTTCACTGGTTGTGTGTTCAAATCCTAATTGTGGAATTTATATTAATCCAGCTGAAATTGAACTTGAAATGAAATGTTCTGGGAAGTAAAGGCAGCCCACATCCTACTGGCTACATCACCCAGCAACTACAGCTGATCCAAACAAAACAAGTCTGCCACCATATACCCAAGAGACCTCAGTGACCTTTGACCCCTAGGACTTGGCTGAAAAGATTCTTTCCTGTTGACTGCTAAGTTGCTGTTTCTGTCTGGTTCTATTTAAGGGCACAAAGATATCTGCGTGTTAGCACTGACATGGCCTTGAATCTGCAGATGTATGCTCCAGTTGTACAGATAAATATAGCCATGTTTTGTGAGGAAGAACTTATCTACAGCAACAAGTCTGATGAGATCTTATGCAACACACTTTAGCTGCAAAGTAAATTGAATGATTTTGTGTGAAGATGAAGTTGTCTCTATTTATTCAGAAAGGTTGGATGTTCATTTAATATCGATCGGCACAGGTGAACAATACACAAGCTGATTCAGTCTACTCAAGCAATAATACACAACCTGATTCAGTCTACTCAAGCAACAATGCACTGATACTTCTTCTAATCAACTGCGCTTGTATTTATCTGCATAGATTGTTTTGAATGTTTATCTAGTTATAAAAACAACAGAAGGGGAGCTCAACCATGTCTAGAATGCGCAAAGATTGTACTGGCAGAGTTATCTCTCAGACTGGATAATGTATAAAACTTCTATCTTTGTTTTCTGTTGTTATTTTGTGAAGTCATAATATACAACAATTCTACTGAAGAAGAAAAAATAATTTAGAAAATGTTAAAAATAAAATGGGCACTGAGTGACAGAGGGAGTGAGACAAAGAACACAGGTACAATTTTTGCATGAAATATTTTCATAAATAGAATTTCCAGAAGAAATAAAGTACATGTTTTAAAAAGTTTTTAAAAGTTTGAAAAAAAAAAACAACTGCCTAATAAAGTGGGGTAGAGGAATAACACATAATCCTGCTGCGTAGAAATGGAGTTACACCGTTTCACAGACATTAGATTGCCTTTAAAATAAGATGACCAGTGTCCTTCTGCCAGCCTCTCGATCGATCGTAGTTTCAGATGCCTAGTGACACAGTACAAACAGTTCTGACAGTAGACCCAAGAACTCACAGACAATCAACTCACCCAAGAACTCACAGACAATCAACTCACCCAAGAACTCACAGACAATCAACTCACCCAAGAACTCACAGACAATCAACTCACCCAAGAACTCAGAGACAATCAACTCACCCAAGAACTCACAGACAATCAACTCACCCAAGAACTCACAGACAATCAACTCACCCAAGAACTCACAGACAATCAACTCACCCAAGAACTCAGAGACAATCAACTCACCCAAGAACTCACAGACAATCAACTCACCCAAGAACTCACAGACAATCAACTCACCCAAGAACTCACAGACAATCAACTCACCCAAGAACTCAGAGACAATCAACTCACCCAAGAACTAATACATATAAAGATGAACTCAAAAGAAGAGGAAGGCAGATGTGATAGTTTTACACAACTGGGGAAGGCAGATGTGATAGTTTCACATAACCGGGGAAGGCAGATGTGATAGTTTCACATAACCGGGGAAGGCAGATGTGATAGTTTCAAATAAAAAAGCAAGGCAGAAATGACAGTTTCAAATAACCTAGGAACAGTACAGGAAGTATAACAGTTTCATTTAAAGGAGAAAACATGAGGGCGGATCGATCCATCAGTTTGTCCTATCTAGGCTGCTACCTAAAGGTTAACCAATCCATTCTGAGATAAAACAAGACTCAGTCCGGATGGCAGACCAACAAGACAGATTCCTGATACCCAGTTCAAGCTCTAAAGAAGTTGCCATGAAGGCAATAACTCCACCAGCCAAGTGTCATCTGTCATCCTGTGTGGGTCAGGATGTCGGCGCAATGGAAAGGGAACAAATATTACACAAGAGAAAAATGCCACGGGTGATATAACCTATAAAATCAATGAAACATGTGTCACTGTATGAAGATCACAGTTGTACAATCATCACTAAACTTACTACTACTTGTGTAGACACAGGTTGAAGCAGATGTTAGACCAGGCCATAGAGATTTAAGCTTTTACAGACATGAGATCCTAACAAGAAATTGGAAGATTACAGTTGTACAATCATCACTAAACTCACTACTACTTGTGTAGACACAGGTTGAAGCAGATGTTAGACCAGGCCATAGAGATTTAAGCTTTTACAGACATGAGATCCTAACAAGAAATTGGAAGATTACAGTTGTACAATCATCACTAAACTCACTACTACTTGTGAATACAAAGGTTGAAGCAGACGTTAGACCAGGCCATATAGATTTAAGCTTTTACAGACATGAGATCCTAACAAGATATTGGAAGATTACAGTTCCCTTCTTCACCACCTAGAAGAAACATCTTCGGTACCCAGTTCAACTGATTGGGTGGATCCCACATCCATGTTGATCCCACATCTGTGTTGATCCCACATCTGTGTTGATCCTACATCCATGTTGATCCCACATCTGTGCCAGTCTCATACACAGCTGGTATATGGGACCATATCCATCAGTTAACAGCACACTGTTTAGCCATAAGCCGACCAATTAAGTCAAAGCTGAGAACATGCATATATTTGCATACATAATAAGAAGCATCTAGTTTATGACATCCAAACTCTACAGTTTTGCTCACAAAGATAAAGCCTGAGATATGTAAGAGGCAGACAATAAAAGATGTAGCCACACACACCAAGCATCTATGAGCTAATATGTTACAGCCAGGCAATCACAGATTTGGCCACACCCGCCAAGCATCTACCAGCTAATATAAATAGCAACAACATGCTGTTTAATTATGATGAAATATTAGTAACTGATGTTAGCATATGCAATTTTTTACTGCACTGACTGTTAAACAACAATAATGTTGCAATGATTTGTGTCCCTTATGAGAAATAAACCATAATTTTGACTTTTTTGAACATAGGTTATATTTTCTTTCAAGAAACATGTTAGAAATATTATCACCATCATTTTCAATGCTTCAAAAAACAATCTGTTTATCACCGGCTAAGCTGACTCAGAACAATGAAGACCACCAGGACACAAGGTGATAACTTCTAACTCTGATTGCAGAGTCTACAAGTCACTTAGAGAGATGCAAGTCTAGTGTTGTGTGCAATATATGGGAAGGGAAGTTCATTGTTGAACGTGGGACTTGGTGCGGTGCGCACACATTGAACGTGAAGTAGAGAGAGAGAGAGAGAGAGAGAGTGAGTAACGGTGGACTCTACTACGCTGTGTAGGAAGCCTGTTCTAATCTGGATGGATCCAGGCTGGTCCTGCATAACTGTGTTACGCTGGCGGTAGGGTACGGGCTGTCTGTGAGTGTTGTTACAGCGGTCGCGCCAGCGTGACAGACGCTCGTGTGGCCGCAGACGAAAGGTCTGGACAAGTTTCACAATGTACTGTGCATCGGCCTGTATGATTCTGCTATGACAGTGTACCCAAGGGATGGGTGTCATAGAGGTAGACACATAACCACGAGCAGTGAGTTTGCACGAGCAGGTAATGTTTGCTCGTAGTTGACCACGGAACAGGGTGGCAGTAGAAGTAGCCCAGAGCGTCCGTAGTGTGTGTTGCCTTGCCAGTAGGAATGACTGTGGCGGTGTAACGTTTTATTCTCGTGATGCCTTTCATTGTTTTGGTGTTGAAATTAGAAATACATTAATTCTGTTTGACGTTCAACATGTATCCGGCGTCCTTATTGCTGTTGGGCGGGAATGGTGACTTGTTACTGTAACACTATTTAACATACCATGGATACTTGGCAAGTGTGCGTTGTATCAAGCGAACATTCGCACACGTCATCTAGTTCCGACTGTCAGTCAACACAAGGACTCCCATAGTTCTCTCCTTGCTCAATTGTGTTTTCAGGTTAACAAAACCACAAGCATCTACTGTCACAGTCAGCTTTCTTGTTGGTTTTTTTCTTTCAGCCACAGGGTACAGAGTTCATACTCTGTAGATGTCGCCAGTGAAACTGGCAGATCTCTAGAATAACAACCAGTATTACATATCTACTTCTACTGACTAGTGTCCCAGCTGATCTCTAGAATAACAACCAGTATTACATATCTACTTCTACTGACCAGTGTCCCAGCTGGAGGCTATAGAGCCATTTGTGAAATGAATAGATCCGCTATTTGCTGCTGATGAAGGATGCGGGAGTTCTCGTTTTGTAACTTTTGCATACAGACTTCCATCAGGGGCCTTGTGGTGATCGACACTGCCTGTGTACTGGGGTATGTGTGTGCTGCCCCCTGGTGCATGCGGGGACAGAATCCTGTTCTTGTTGAAATCAAACACTGAAATAGGAACTAAAAGAACATGTTCTGGCTATATAAAAGGCAAGAGCTTTTCATTCAGGCCAAAATCCTTCAACCCAGTTTAACATGCAAAGACATGCAACTATTATACATACAAGATACAATAAATTTCATGAACAATTCATCGTGTTATTCAATAAATCAGTGGAGCCATTCCCAGTCACACACAGGATCATCACAAGCATATTTTTTAGGGATGGTGCATCCATGCATCTGTGCATCCATGCATCATCGTTCCTCCCTCCTTCCCGACCTAGCTAAAAATGGGTGACCTGAACTGGGTGGCCAGGTTGGCAGTCTAAACCAGGCTAGCACAGTCAAGCAAATGTGCCTCAAGGTTTAGAATGGGCCTCTTTGACTAGAGGGTCTTATAGTTTATTGTTGACTGTGTTCAGGAATGAGGGGCGGGTTTATGGCCAACACAAGAGTGTGATCACATCAACTAGACAAGTCACCTCCCAAGGATGAGAAACATACCCTAAGATCATGCCCCATCTAGCACATGCCCCATCTAGCACATGTCCCCTCTAGCACATGTCCCCTCTAGCACATGCCCTATCTAGCACATGCCCCATCTAGCACATGCCCCATCTAGCACATGCCCCATCTAGCACATGCCCCATCTAGCACATGCCAGAAAATGTTAGCAAAAAAAACATGCAGGCCAGCAACATCAGGTTGTGGGTCTGTTCAATGTTCATGTTCACACAGCTGAACGGGTGCTAACTCATCTCATTCTGGACTTCACACATGCTGAACAGGTGCTATCTCATTCTGGACTTCACACAGCTGAACAGGTGCTATCTCATTCTGGACTTCACACAGCTGAACAGGTGCTATCTCATCTCATTCTGGGCTTCACACAGCTGAACAGGTGCTATCTCATCTTATTCTGGACTTCACACAGCTGAACAGGTGCTATCTCATTCTGGACTTCAAACAACTGAACAGGTGCTATCTCATTCTGGACTTCACACATGCTGAACAAGTGCTATCTCATTCTGGACTTCACAGAGCTGAACAGGTGCTATCTCATCTCATTCTGGACTTCACACAGCTGAACAGATGCTATCTCATCTCATTCTGGACTTCACACAGCTGAACAAATGCTATATCATCTCATTCTGAACTTCACACAGTTGAACAGGTGCTATCTCATCTCATTCTGGACTTCACACAGCTGAACAGATGCTAAATCATCTAATTCTGGACTTAAAACAGCTGAACAGATGCTATCTCCTCTCATTCTGTACTTCACACAGCTGAACTGGTGCTATCTCATCTCATTCTGGACTTCACACAGCTGAACAGGTGCTAACTCATTCTAGACTTCACACAGCTGAACAGGTGCTATCTCATCTCATTCGGGACTTCACACAGCTGAACAGGTGCTAACTCATTCTGGACTTCACACAGCTGAACAGGTGCTAACTCATTCTAGACTTTACACAGCTGAACAGATGCTATCTGATCTCATTCTATACTTTACACAGCTGAACAGATGCTATCTCATCTCATTCTAGGCTTTACACAGCTGAACAGATGCTATCTCATCTCATTCTAAACTTTACACAGCTGAAGAGATGCTATCTTATCTCATTCTAGACTTTACACAGCTGAACAGTTGCTATCTCATCTCATTCTAGACTTTACACAGCTGAACAGGTGCTATCTCATCTCATTCTAGACTTTTCACAGCTGAACAGATGCTATCTCATCTCATTCTAGACTTTACACAGCTGAACAGGTGCTATCTCATCTCATTCTGGACTTTACACAGCTGAACAGATGCTATCTCATCTCATTCTGGACTTTACACAGCTGAACAGGTGCTATCTCATCTCATTCTGGACTTTACACATACAGTACACATACACAGCAAAAGCACTACAGCCAGCAGATACAATCTACATTTGTGTGTGACAGCCAGCAGATGCAATCTACATGTGTGTGACAGCCAGCAGATACAATCTACATGTATGTGACATCCAGCAGACACAATCTACATGGGTGTGACAGCTAGCAGATACAATCTACATATGTGTGATAGCCAGCAGATACAATCTACATGTGTGTGATAGCCAGCAGATACAATCTACATGTGTGTGACAGCCAGCAAATACAATCTACATGTGTGGGACAGCCAGCAGATACAATCGACATGTGTGTGACAGCCAGCAAATACAATCTACATGTGTGTGACAGCCAGCAGATGGAATCTACATGTGTGTGACAGCCAGCAGATAGAATCTACATGTGTGTGACAGCCAGTAGATACAATCGACATGTGTGGGACAGCCAGCAGATACAATCTACATGTGTGTGACAGCCAGCCGATACAATCTACATGTGTGTGACAGCCAGCAAATACAATCTACATGTGTGTGACAGCCAGCAGATACAATCTACATGTGTGTGACAGCCAGCAAATACAATCTACATGTGTGGGACAGCCAGCAGATACAATCGACATGTGTGTGACAGCCAGCCGATACAATCTACATGTGTGTGACAGCCAGCAGATACAATCGACATGTGTGGGACAGCCAGCAGATACAATCTACATGAGTGTGACAGCCAGCAGATAGAATCTACATGTGTGTTATAGCCAGCAGATACTTAGTCTACACAGCTTACCATCAGCAGCCAGACCTGACACCTTGTTGAATTCCTCGTAGGAGTCTGTTCGAACCATGGATTCCTCACTGTCGACTATTGGCACTGTGACGTCAGACTTGAAACCTGTCACTGAAACATGAAGTGCCAACATGTCATACAGATCATGTAGCCAGAAGCGAAAGTGAAGCACATGTAACATCAACTTCTTCTTCATCTTGCTGATTGTTGTTCTGCTAATGTCCAGAACATAATTGTCCACATCTGTTTTCTTCAGGGGGTGATACTGTACATGAAAACTTTACAATAATCCCAAACAGCTTCATACGGATGTTTGTCTCTGTGGACCACTCATCCATCTGGATAACAAGCCTTCACATCCGGCCAATCTAAGACCACTCATCCATCTGGATAACAAGCCTTCACATCCGGCCAATCTAAGACCACTTATCCATCTGGATAACAAGCCTTCACATCCGGCCAATCTAAGACCACTCATCCATCTGGATAACAAGCTTTCACATCAAAGTTTTACTTTATAATCCTTTTTCTATCAGTCATATGTGTGTTGTTATTGTCAAAAGTGAAGGAATAAATCGAGAAGTGACATCCCACACCTAGTCTGTCTCCTTGCTCAGTAATCCCCAATATCAAAGAGTTAACTGATAAAACTTGAAAAGTGGTGGACTTACCGGAGACTAGAACATCCGAGCTGGAGCCAAAGATAACACAGTCAGTGGTGGACGGAGACTAGAACATCCGAGCTGGAGCCAAAGATAACACAGTCAGTGGTGGACTTACCGGAGACTTGAACATCACAGATGGAGCCAATCACAACACAGTCAGTGGTGGACTTACCAGAGACTAGAACACCAAAGATGGAGCCAAACACAACACAGTCAGTGGTGGACTTACCGGAGACTAGAACATCAAAGATGGAGCCAAACACAACACAGTCAGTGGTGGACTTACCGGAGACTAGAACATCAAAGATGGAGCCAAACACAACACAGTCAGTGGTGGACTTACCAGAGACTAGAACACCAAAGATGGAGCCAAACACAACACAGTCAGTGGTGGACTTACCGGAGACTAGAACATCAAAGATGGAGCCAAACACAACACAGTCAGTGGTGGACTTACCAGAGACTAGAACACCAAAGATGGAGCCAAACACAACACAGTCAGTGGTGGACTTACCGGAGACTAGAACATCAAAGATGGAGCCAAACACAACACAGTCAGTGGTGGACTTACCGGAGACTAGAACATCAAAGATGGAGCCAAACACAACACAGTCAGTGGTGGACTTACTAGAGACTAGAACATCAAAGATGGAGCCAAACACAACACAGTCAGTGGTGGACTTACCAGAGACTAGAACATCAAAGATGGAACTAAACAACACAGTCAGGGGTGGAATTACTGGAGACTAGAACACCAAAGATGGAGCCAATCTTAACACAGTAAGTGGTGGAATTACCGGAGACTAGAACATCAGAGATGGAGCCAAACACAACACAGTCAGTGGTGGACTTACCGGACACTAGAGCATCAGAGCTGGAGCCAAACACAACACAGTCAGTGGTGGACTTACCGGAGACTAGAACATCAGAGCTGGAGCCAAACACAAACTGGACCTTGCCTGAGTCTGGAAACCTGGGATCTGGTGATCAAACAACAGATGTCATCAGTACTGTCTTCACAAATGACATATCATCATCATTGTCTACACAATGAAATGTAATCATTATTTGCTTCACAACTGACATTTCATCATCATTGTCTTGAGAACGGACATGCCCTCATCAATGTCTTCACAATGACATGTCATCAGCACTGTCTTCACAACAGACATGTCATAAGCATTGTCTTCACAACAACAGACATGTCATCAGTATTGTCTTCACAACAACAGACATGTCATCAGCATTGTCTTCACAACAACAGACATGTCATCAGCACTGTCTTCACAACTGACATGTCATCAGCATTGTTTTCACAACAACTCACATGTCATCAGCACTGTTTTCACAACAACAGACATGTCATCAGCATTGTTTTCACAACAACTGACATGTCATCAGCATTGTTTTCACAACAACTGACATGTCATCAGCATTGTTTTCACAACAACTGACATGTCATCAGCATTGTTTTCACAACAACTGACAAGTCATCAGCATTGTTTTCACAACAAATGGCATGTCATCAGCATTGTCTTTACAATTGACATGTAATCAGTATTATTGTTAAAAATGACATGTCTTCAGCACTGTCATCACAATGCCTTTACAAATGAAATGTCATCAGCATTGTTTTCACAACTGACATGTCACCATCATTGTCTTCACAACTGACATGTCACCATCATTGTATTTACAACTGACATGTCATCAGTTTTGTTTTCACAACTGACATGTCATCAGCTTTGCCTTTCCAAATGACATGTCATCAGCAATGTTTTTACAAATGACATGGCATCAGCATTGTCTTCACAACAACAGACATGTCATCAGCATTGTCTTCACAACAACAGACATATCATCAGCAGTCTTCACAACAGACATGTCATCAGCATTGTCTTCACAACAACAGACATGTCATCAGCATTGTCTTCACAACAACAGACATGTCATCAGCATTGTCTTCACAACAACAGACATATCATCAGCATTGTCTTCACAACAACAGACATGTCATCAGCACTATCTTTACAACAACTGACATTTCATTAGAGTTGATCCCATACGACTGATTTTTCTGTGTGCAGAACTTCTAACCTCCTGACTGGAGCACTAATTCCATTCATCCAGCAACAATTCCCATGGATCCCCACAACATGTTTGATCATTCCGACTCTGGTGTGTCTTTCTGTTTCAACTGTATGATCACCTGCCGCCACCAGCCCAGACCTACAACTGAAGGGACAGGTGTCAAGCCAGTCTGGCAGACGCAGAAACAAACTGTACTCCCGGGCGGGTTACCAGGTCGGGCGGGTTACCAGGTCGTTCCAATGAGATCAGACAACATACAAGTGGTGAGGTACAAATCGTTGTCAGTGAATACCACAGTAGGGTCTACTGTAACATACGTGCAGACAAACACATGTGCAGACATACTCACGTGCAGACATACTCACGTGCAGACAGACATGCACGCACATATACACACGCAAAAAAACGATGAGAATGAACAGTCGGAGACCAGTGAGCGACAAACTCCTCAGTGAAACTCAATGATCGCCAATCACATGAAAACGTTGGTGTGGACAAGGCTGCCCTACCTAGCAAAACAGGCAGGTGAGTGGACAAGGCTGTCCTACCTACCAAAACAGCAGGTGAGTGGACAAAGCTGTCCTACCTACCAAAACAGCAGGTGAGTGGACAAGGCTGTCCTACCTACCAAAACAGCAGGTGAGTGGACAAAGCTGTCCTATCAATTAAAACAGGAGGTGAGTGGACAAACCTGCCCTACCTTCCAAAACAGGAGGTGAGTGGATAAAGCTGCCCTACCTAACAAAACAGCAGGTGAGTGGATAAAGCTGCCCTACCTAACAAAACAGGCAGGTGAGTGGATAAAGCTGCCCTACCTAACAAAACAGCAGGTGAGTGGACAAAGCTGTGACCTACCAAAACAGCAGGTGAGTGGAAAAGGCTGCCCTACCTACAAAAACAGCAGGTGAGTGGACAAAGCTGCCCTACCTACCAAAAACAGCAGGTAAGTGGACAAAGCTGTCCTACCTATCAAAACAGCAGGTGAGTGGACAAGGCTGCGACCTACCAAAACAGCAGGTGAGTGGACAAAGCTGTGACCTACACAAACAGCAGGTGAGTGGACAAAGCTGTGACCTACACAAACAGCAGGTGAGTGGACAAAGCAGTGACCTACCAAAACAGCAGGTGAGTGGACAAGGCTGGGACCTACCAAAACAGCAGGTGAGTAAACAAAGATGTGACCAACCAAAACAGAAGGTGAGTGGACAAGGCTGTCCTACCTAAAAAAAAAAAAAAAAACAGGTGAGTGGACAAGGCTGCGACCTACCAAAACAGAAGGTGAGTAAACAAAGCTGTGACCTACCAAAACAGCAGGTGTGTGGACAAGGCTGTCCTACCTACCAAAACAGCAGGTGAGTGGACAAGGATGCCCTACCTACAAAAACAGCAGGTGAGTGGACAAAGCTGTGACCTACCAAAACAGCAGGTGAGTGGACAAGGCTGTCCTACCTACCAAAACAGCAGGTGAGTGGACAAGGCTGCCCCTACCTACCAAAACAGCAGGTGAGTGGACAAAGCTGTGACCTACCTACCATAACAGCAGGTGAGTGGACAAAGCTGTCCTACCTACCAAAACAGCAGGTGAGTGGACAAGGATGCCCTACCTATCAAAACAGCATGTGAGTGGACAAAGCTGCGACCTACCTACCATAACAGCAGGTGAGTGGACAAGGCTGTCCTACCTACCAAAACAGCAGGTGAGTGGACAAGGCTGTCCCACTTATCAAAACAGCAGGTGAGTGGACAAGGCTGCCCTACCTACCAAAACAGCAGGTGAGTGGACAAGGCTGTCCTACCTACCAAAACAGCAGGTGAGTGGACAAGGCTGTCCTACCTACCAAAACAGCAGGTGAGTGGACAAGGCTGTCCCACTTATCAAAACAGCAGGTGAGTGGTCAAGGCTGTCCTACCTATAAAAACAGCAGGTGAGTGGACAAAGCTGTGACCTACCAAAACAGAAGGTGAGTGGACAAGGATGTCCCACTTATCACAACAGCAGAGGTGAGTGGACAAGGCTGTCCCACTTATCACAACAGCAGGTGAGTGGACAAGACTGTCCTACCTACCAAAACAGCAGGTGAGTGGACGAAGTTTCCCTACCTACCAAAACAGCAAGTGAGTGGAAAAAGCTGCCCTACTTACCAAAACAGCAGGTGAGTGGACAAGGCTGTCCTACCTATCAAAACAGCAGGTGAGTGGACAAGGCTGTCCTACCTACCAAAACAGCAGGTGAGTGGACAAAGTTTCCCTACCTACCAAAACAGCAAGTGAGTGGAAAAAGCTGCCCTACCTACCAAAACAGCAGGTGAGTGGACAAGGTTGTCCTACCTATCAAAACAGCAGGTGAGTGGACAAGGCTGCCCTACCTACCAAAACAGCAGGTGAGTGGACAAAGCTGTGACCTACCGAAACAGCAGGTGAGTGGACAAGGCTGTCCTACCTACCAAAACAGCAGGTGAGTGGACAAGGCTGTCCTACCTACCAAAACAGCAGGTGAGTGGACAAGGCTGCCCTACCTACCAAAAAAGCAGGTGAGTGGACAAAGCTGTGACCTACCGAAACAGCAGGTGAGTGGACAAGGCTGTCCTACCTACTAAAACAGCAGGTGAGTGGACAAGGCTGTCCTACCTACCAAAACAGCAGGTGAGTGGACAAGGCTGCCCTACCTACCAAAACAGCAGGTGAGTGGACAAGGCTGTCCTACCTACCAAAACAGCAGGTGAGTGGACAAAGCTGTCCTATCAATTAAAACAGGAGGTGAGTGGACAAACCTGCCCTACCTTCCAAAACAGGAGGTGAGTGGATAAAGCTGCCCTACCTAACAAAACAGCAGGTGAGTGGATAAAGCTGCCCTACCTAACAAAACAGGCAGGTGAGTGGATAAAGCTGCCCTACCTAACAAAACAGCAGGTGAGTGGACAAAGCTGTGACCTACCAAAACAGCAGGTGAGTAAAAAAGGCTGCCCTACCTACAAAAACAGCAGGTGAGTGGACAAAGCTGCCCTACCTACCAAAACAGCAGGTAAGTGGACAAAGCTGTCCTACCTATCAAAACAGCAGGTGAGTGGACAAGGCTGCGACCTACCAAAACAGCAGGTGAGTGGACAAAGCTGTGACCTACACAAACAGCAGGTGAGTGGACAAAGCTGTGACCTACACAAACAGCAGGTGAGTGGACAAAGCAGTGACCTACCACAAAAACAGCAGGTGAGTGGACAAGGCTGGGACCTACCAAAACAGCAGGTGAGTAAACAAAGATGTGACCAACCAAAACAGAAGGTGAGTGGACAAGGCTGTCCTACCTAAAAAAAAAAAAAAACAGGTGAGTGGACAAGGCTGAGACCTACCAAAACAGAAGGTGAGTAAACAAAGCTGTGACCTACCAAAACAGCAGGTGTGTGGACAAGGCTGTCCTACCTACCAAAACAGCAGGTGAGTGGACAAGGATGCCCTACCTACAAAAACAGCAGGTGAGTGGACAAAGCTGTGACCTACCAAAACAGCAGGTGAGTGGACAAGGCTGTCCTACCTACCAAAACAGCAGGTGAGTGGACAAGGCTGCCCTACCTACCAAAACAGCAGGTGAGTGGACAAAGCTGTGACCTACCTACCAAAAACAGCAGGTGAGTGGACAAAGCTGTCCTACCTACCAAAACAGCAGGTGAGTGGACAAGGCTGTGCCCTACCTATCAAAACAGCATGTGAGTGGACAAAGCTGCGACCTACCTACCAAAACAGCAGGTGAGTGGACAAGGCTGTCCTACCTACCAAAACAGCAGGTGAGTGGACAAGGCTGTCCCACTTATCAAAACAGCAGGTGAGTGGACAAGGCTGCCCTACCTACCAAAACAGCAGGTGAGTGGACAAGGCTGTCCTACCTACCAAAACA